TCCTGCAACCCTGCGTCCTCATATTGGGACATAGTTTTATAGGAAAAAAACTCCTGATGTCCTATATGCAAATCTATACACCTTACAATAAAGGGGATCATGGAATTTTAAAAATAATAATACAAAACAAATCCTGGCCAAGTTTCATACAATTAGTCTTTAAACTGACCAATATATTGAGACTCAAACAAGTCAAATAAGAAGAATGTACACGTTTGGTCCCCCAAGGTGCCTCGAGGGTATTCATCGGGTGGACAAAAGAAACACTGTCTCTGTAGGAGGTATGCCGATGGCTGTTCAACTGGCTTTTGAAAATGACACATACTCCCTCAGCTGCAAGTTACAGATCTAATATGAACAAAAACATATTTTTCCTTATATTGTGCAGGAGGTGGAATCTTTCTTTATCCAGATGGTCCAGAAGAGTCTTTGAGGGATTCTTCAACTGATGCTTCGCTCTGTGACTTGAATGTAATGATAAGAAATGAGGGGCACAAACTGGGGCTTTGTCCACAGTAGATGAAGCAGAAACATTTATGTCAAGGTGTATTCAAAATATTTATTTCTGTCGCCCTTTATTGCATCCTTTTTCCCTCATGTTGCTGCAGAGTTGCTTTTAAAATTATTTTTCAAATTGTATGTAAGCACACAAACAGGTGGATGCCTCCAAGCATTTCCTTGTCTTATAACAAAGCAACTCTCAGCTGAATGTAATAAGGTTTTCATTTATTGCTTTTCTTCTAAAGAACAATAACCAATTAGCAGCCGGCGAGTCACCGCAGTAAATGATATTGATAATTATTTCAAAAACAACAATGCTCTGTAAAGCAACAAGAGATCAATAATGAGCTGAAGAGTTTATCACGTGTGTAGAAGGTGTTCACTGTATTGATAGATGTGTTATCGCCTCACTGTGCTGTGTGTTACTACTGGCTTTGTCCTGTCTGTCCACCATATGTGTGTGTGTGTGTGTGCGCGCATGTGTCTGTGTTTGTAGGGGCCCATATCAGTGTGTAAGCATGTGCGAGTGTGTGTTTAACGGGATGTGGTGAGGTGCGGGGCCGAGTGACAGTGATGAATTAGCCGGCTGGTAATAACCCTCTCTGATCTCAGCCGCTCTCCCAGCTTCTTGGGGGGCACTTTTAATTGTGGCATGTCTCCCAGCATCCCCTTGGGCATCTCGCACGCCTGCCCCCTTCACTGTACACACACGCACACACACAGAGAAAAAAAAAAAATCGCACTTTCAGACACACAAAGCTGATAGACACGTGCACGTAGAGTAAACCACACACTCTCTCTCTCCTCATCAAATGGGTCTTTGTGTGACTGTACGCGATGGGATTATTAATCAAAATGGAAAAAACAGACTGAGGAAGGGAGGAGGGTAAGGAAGGGTGGGAGGCTAACCTGTGTGTTTGTGAAGGAATTCTTTCACAACAAAAGACTCTCCACCTGCCTGAAATACAACCTGCCTTTTTTGCACACTAGATAAACACAAATAGCAGACAAAATGTGTCCTGACCAAAGCCATCAGGGGCATCAATATATATGTAAATGCCCCCGAGTTTACGACCATAAAAAAAGAGAAGAAGAATGGAGAATAATGGCTCGGTCAACTATGATTTATTTTCATTTTTTTCCAGGTGCCAAGCCAGGGCTGTTTATTTCCCCAGTGCTTTGTGTGAGAGAAGATTTATTTAATTTCTGATGAATAGGTGATTCCAAGAGAATTACCTTTCCTGTCCGTGAAATCAGCTGTAGTGTTTTATTTTCAGGGGCTTTCACAGTGCTGTGTGTGTATACTTAAGTGTGTGCGTATGTGTGAGACTGTTGGACTTTGATGGTAAGAGCTCCCCAGTGCAGTTATGTGCTTTTACATCCATCCATGGGAGCGTATTTGCATGATAAGGCCTCTCATCTACATACAGGACTCTAAAAACGACCAAATCTCCGACTAGCACTTCACACTATCTCTGTTAAAGTATGGCCCGATGGGAGCCTGTACACATTGCTACTTGTCACTTTGATCATGAAGGGGACACTAGTCTATAGAGTATATAGGCTACAATATAGCATTTATAGTTTAGAGCAGTGGCTCTCAGGCTATTATTTCAATGGCTAGAAGATAACCCAATGAGAGAATGTGTAAGAATTACTTTTCTGCTCATAAGTTTCAAACTCTTTGCTGAAAATCTGCCAATTGACACTACAGACTCATTGTCAGATGGGGATCCTTGAGACCACATTTCTTCAAATAAGTGTCTGATGTCTATCAATATGGGGGTCATTGCTTTAGAGAATATTATCAATCCAAGATGAAACTGACAAGGGGCGGGGCGGCGAGAGAAAGGTGCAATTACAAATCCGGCTGCTACTTCAGCACCACAGATAGCGCCATGGGTTTATCAGTACACAGCACAGTAAAGCTTCTGCTCGTGTGAGACACTGTGGCGGGGGCCTCCGCAGGTCCTGCATTCAGTATTCTCCTAAATGCCACGGTGTGTGCAAACTAAATATTCTGTAAATAAACACTGTTGCTTTTTTTAAAAAAAAACCTTTGATGGAGCCAGGCTAAGTACTTTGAAAGGAAGAATATTTTGGAAAACAAAAATTAGGAAATTATTTGGCTATGGGGACATTTTAGCAATGTAAAACAGAGATTTAGACAATTTAAACAGATGGAAACAAGTTATGGAAAGCCAGGACAAATTTGATAGAAATTAGGGATTTACAGGACAATGAGTGCAAATTGGGAAAATTCGGATTTTTAAAAATTTGTTTTTATTTATACTTTTTTGTAATATATGAACATTTTGCAAAGTGAGGATATTTTTGGCAACTGAAGACATTTTTGAAAAGTGAGGACTTTTAGGTCTGTCCTTAAGTTCCAATTTAGTTCACACTGTTAGAGGCCAGGCAATACAGGTCAATGAGAGTCCTTATGCGTGTTTGTGTGTGTGTGTGTGTGTGTGTGTGGTGTGGGTGTGTGTGTGTGTGCTGTGTGTGTGTGTGTGTGTGTTTTTTTTTCCTCAGGCTGAGGGGATCCTCAGAGCGTGGGCGACCCCCGCTCTACAGAAAGATTATGGCAGTGAGCCTGTGGTCACTAAGATTTGGAACACCACCATGACCGAGGTACAGCATCTCTCAAGACCTGCACTTTATCATACTGTTTGTTTTCAACATGTTCAGAACTGGTTTTGCGCGTCTTACTTCTTTACTAGTTGCATGCAGGAAGTCATTTTACCTGGAAGGACTCCAACAAATGTTAAAACTTATAGTTTTAATTAACTTACAGTATAATGTTGGCAGTGTTTTTTCAGTTAGTATACAAGAAAACTAATGATTACACAACTCCAACCAAAACTATGCCAGTTTATCTTTTTTAAATCTACAAATATCAACAAACAATATGAGTTTTTGTTGAATGCGCCTCATTTAATTCATGTGTGCACAATATAAGATAGTGGTGCATATTGATTACATCCAGCATTACATTTCAGTCTGCATGCTGTCTATGTAATTTTATAGTTAGTGTGAGCACAGTAAATACTTTAAAATTACTGTAGTATCTAATGGAACATGCAGTGTTTAATTGGCATAATTTAACAGAATAATTCAATGTACTCTCTGAGCTGCTGGGTCCTTCACTGAGCTGAACTAATGAAACAGAAGAGATAAACTGCCTGTGGCTTAAGGGCAAAGTTAAAATTTATGAATTGAAATCCAACAAAAGCAATAACAGAGTTTCTTCTCTACTCACTGTGCATAATATGTCTGCTTTTGTCTGTTAGTTGACCTCAGCTCACCTCAAATAGCTACAGTCAAGGTAACTCAGGGAACTTCCATCTCGCTGAGAAAGAAACATTTATTCTCAATAGTGTGACAGTTTAACAATGGTTGTTAAGACTGACAATGTCTCACCTTGTATTGTACAAAAAACACATATTCCCACTTACACCTTTTTGTATTGAGCCAAGCGAATCGTTTTCGCTTTATTTGCTGTTTTTAGGTGAATGGAATTTTCTTTATTGGCCTCAAATCCTCTAAAAGTGACATTAGTAAAACTCAAATATTGTGCCCCAGAAACAGTATCATGGTTACTTGAGATAACACTGTTGGCAATAGTTGAATACTTTCTGTAGATACAACACAGTGAATCTGTTTGAATGTTACTGCCAACATGAACTCACGCATCAGCAAGGCTCTTAGTAAACTTTCACTGACGAAAGTTAACTTACAAGAATGCAAAGCGTAGATGGATTATGAATAAAAACCCACTGAACACTCTTCTCAAGAGTTTTCCTGCTGTGTGCTGAAGGCGTGTTTCCTCCTTTCTCCCAGCTGAAGTGCTGTGGTTTCACCAACTACACAGACTTTGTGGGCTCTAACTTTGAAAAGGAGAATGGAGGCAGTCTGCCGCCCAGCTGCTGCTGGACAAACAGCGCCCCCTGCAGCTCGGCAGAGGCAGAGCGCAGCGCTGTGCAGGTGAGATGGAAAACTTTTTCTAGGACATCCCGATACGTATCCAGATACATGGGCTACGATCCGATTTAGGGACGATGCATTTTAATAGCGAAAAATACAGTGTGATTTGATGCGATGCGAACCCAACTATTTTTTATTACACTATTAACTTTATTTGCATGTTCTTGCTTTTGCTAGCTGTATTAGCATCCACAGACTTATCATCATAAGTGTTAAGATTGGTTGTGTTACCATTGTACTTAATCGCTGTCTGACAGATCTTACAAATCGACAGACTTTTGTCCAACTTTCCTTCCTTCTTATAGAAAATCCAAATGTCTTCCAAACTTTAGATTTGACGGTACACTTTAAATCGTATCAGCATTGTCTGACATGTTTGTTTATGTACCGACTTCATCAGCCACACTTCACTCATGACGAACTGGCTTTTACATTTCACGAGAGTGGAGACACTGTTTGCAGCAAAGCTTCAGTCAACCGATTCTCAACTTTAGAATCGGACTATCAACCACTTCATGGTATATTTAGACCGATCTAGGGGTCCGCGTACTGATGTAGTTGCATCTGTAACGTTAAAAGTGATTTCCGACAAGTATTGGTAAATCTTTACACCCCTACTATTTAATAAACCCTCATTTGTATAAATGGGATGGACAAACTATTAAACACCTCTGTCAGAGTAATGCACATACACAGGAGGGACATGAATGTCTTCTGAATGCATTTCTATACTCTGAAAGTTTATTAGTTTGCAATATATTGAATGTCTCATTTTTGCCTGAATTGTTGTACATTTGTCAAGAACTGATGAAGATATTTAGACAAACACTTTACTCCTCAGGGCTGTTTCAAACAAATCCTGGAGACCCTCAAAGAACACGCCAACATCGTGGGAGGCATCGCAGCAGGAATAGGAGTCTTGGAGGTAAAATAATGTGAAAAGAAAAGACAAACCTTTTGAAAACGTGCTCACTTTGGTGCACTCCAGTGTGAGATAGAGAGCTTAAAAATCCCGGTCAACAAACTCCAAATGCAAAACCAGAATCTTGGATGAAATCAGAGTTGGTAATAACTTTATTATCCAACAGGCGTGTTGGCAAGAGAGGATTAGAACCTCAGACATCCTGGAGGCAAATTTCCTCAGCATGAGTCTAATTAACAAATTACTAATTAACAAACACACCATGTGAGCTGCCTTGCTTTCTCAGCCATGTATGAATACTGATTAATATCATTGTGTTTATGAATTTATATGTTATTTGTAATATGGCTATATGATAATAAATAGTGTTAAGAAAACTTCCACTGTACACTGCGAGAATGTCAGTGGTAAAAAAAGTAAAGTGCTCTAAAGGGAATTATAAAATTCCACTGTGGACATAAATGGGTTAACTGAATAGTCATCCTGGTTTTAGTGAATGCAATCCAAAAAGAGATGAACATTTGTATTATGTTGTTTCCTCAGATTGCTGCCATGATAGTGTCCATGTACCTGTACTGCCGCCTGGACAAGAGCATCAGCTGAGACTCCTTCAGGGAAAAGATCCCGTGGGATTTTTAATCTGCATTATTTAACAATCACAGGGTAGTCTTCTTTCTTTTTGGTTCCCCCTTTTTAAAGGGAAATGTTTAGCTTTAATATAAAGGCATGTTTATGGTGAAAAGAATCCAGTGATTGTATTTTATATATAATGAAAAAAGGTTTATAATCACCGGCAGAGTGTAAATATTTCATATTTTGATAGAATTGGTAATTTTTCTTTTTTGGGATCTTGAGACTATTCAGTCTTTTCATCAATAATTATTTTATATTTTATATTAACAATGGATAAATTGACTACATTTATCATGAAAGGTTTTGGTTGTAGCTCCAAAGCCGCCCAAACCTATCGCCTTTTCTTTTTAGCTCCCAGTTATATTTTGAAGTAAACTTCCTGTCTGGTTCATTCTGGATGTTTTCCAGCCACAGCAGGATGCTGTTTCTATCAGACAAGCTATGATAAGAGACTAGTATGTTCAGAAAGTGGAGCATGTAGCAGCTAAAATGCTGTTTATTTTTCTCAGGAGTTGGTGGAGACCAAATCAGAGCTTAAAAGGAAAGAGAATATTGGAGTTACATTGATCAGGTGGATGCATTTATATACATAGCGCTTACATCCAAAGCACTTCACATTGTCCAATTTCATTCACATACGGATAGCAGTGGGCGACCTTGCAAGCTGAGAGAGCAACGAAACCATGTGTTTGACGACCCGCTATACCTCCTGAACCGCAGCCAAACCTTGTGTAAATGTTATTGTAAAGTGTTATTTTGGGTATCTAGAGTCATTTTCTACAAGAGTGACAGTTGGAGCTTTTCAAGTCTAGGATGAAATGAAAATATCTGGTTCTTGTGAACAAAACTGAAGTAGAGAACTTTTGTGTGCAGTGGTAACGACGGAACAGAAGCTGAAGATGACACTTCCTCAGAAACAAAGTTGACAAAATGGAATGAAACTGCCAACAAAAAACTAATGTTAAATTATCAAGGAGATGTCTGGGTTTTTATGTTGAGGAATATTTAGGATGAAATTAAAAGGAAACTTGGAAAGTAGTAGTAGTATTTTCAGAACCAGCTACTCAATGATAAATACTTTGAGAAACTGTTGACATTTTTTCCTTTTTTCTTTGTATTATGATTGAGATTAGGTCCTGCTGACTGAACAAAGAGATGCAAAAGGGCACAAAGATGTAAATTACTATAAAGTGAGACAAAATAACCACAAAGCAATGCCTAACGTCCACAAAGTGACATAAAATTACCACAAAGCGACACTAAACTGTGTCTTGCTCCTATTGTGGCGGTACTGATTCCCCAAGTCTCAACTCAAAGAAAAGGAGCCTGAAAAGCAGTTCCCATCGCATAATAAAAATAAAAAAAACCCACTCAGACTTTACTTTAACAATGAAAAAATGCCTCTTTAATAACAAATAACTGAGGTCTCTGATGAATTACTGTTAAATAATAAAATAATGAGGTAATAATAATATTGGTAAGTAAATAGCTAGGTGGTTTAATAAAAACAAAACCATAAACAAACAAGTAAGCCATTCTCTCTGGGTTGAATGACAAATTGCAAACACTTTATGGCAACAAAAGAGACAGCAAAGAAATCTCACAGGGTCCTAAAGGACAGAGTTTGAGGCGGACTATGTCTCATAGTTTAACTCTGAATAGAGATCAGAATGCCCCTGGGTGCGCAGTTCCCAATCTCTCTTATAGGCGTCGTCACACCCGGATTGGCCAAGAGGGGAACCACCAAGCTGCTCTCCATCATTGTTGATGAGTCAGTCCCCACCTTCTATGCAACAGGTGAACTCAACGAACCTCTAATCAACCCAGAGGAATGTTTCCAATTGATCAAAAATGAAATAGGGAAAAGAAAAACCGAATAGCTGAATGAATGAATAAATGAATGAATAGATAAATAAATGAGGGGAACTGTTATGCTATGTAGGATCATAATTGTCTTATAATCCACACTTAATAATCAATACGAACGAGACTGTTAAAAACATGTATCTAAAGCCCTTTTCCTCGTTGGCCATGCATGTGAAAGGAAGCAGCGGAGCTCAGTACATCTTTTGTCCTGTATTTATACTATTCATATGCCATCTCCTGCCCTTGAAGATTGCACGCATTGTGAGGCAAGACTGAGTAAATATTGACCAATAAAAGGCCTGTCAATAGACAGGAGGTGGAGTGTTGTTTGGCCATGCAGCAGCAGCGCTCTTCAATGAGTGCTTTATTCACAAATCCTCAACCAGCAACCCCATGCTTTGTTCAAACGATGGAAGAGAAAACTGCAACAAGAGAGAGAGAGAGAGTGAGAGTGGGGGCAAGCTCATTCCAATCTGACATTTGAGAGAGAGAGAAACAGATTGGCAGGAAGAGGACGAGAGAGAGAGAGACGAACAGGAAGAGAAAAAAAACACACAAAGGGGATGATGCCAAAAGTACAAGACTGATTCTTCCAAGGACAAAAATGTCAAACATGATTCTGGTAACCATAATTTATATTTCAAAGGTTTCAGAGAGGAGATGCTTAAAATGTTCAGTAAATGTCACTTTGAACGCTGATCAATATCGCTTTGAACTAATCAATACATGTATATTAACAATGAATGAAATGTCAATGCATAATGTGAAAGGTGTTGCTGGTAGTGAAGAACCCACTGAGAATTATTATCACCCAACTCTGCAGCTCGCCTCAGCTCCTCTGAGCCTTTTAGCATCTTTCAGCTCATCATTTTGGTTTAATAGTTATATATATAGTTATAGTTAAAAAATCGTAGAGAGAATATCGGCTGGGAAGTCTAACATTAACCACGGACCACAGTTGAAGCTGTGCCAGCAGTACAAGGCGCAAACATCTAACCTAGCACGGCTTTATGGTGTTGAGTCTGCGATGCGGTGTGGCTTTGTGATTCACTCGAGAGCGCTTCAGAGTGTTCCGATGTTGCTGACTTGTGTATTTTGTCCTTAAAGGGATACAAAACGGTGTGTGTCTCCACTTCTAAGATGAACTTCTCGTCGTCCCTGGTGTTAAATCTCCTGTCCTGCCTCTGTCTGATTGACTTCTGGTCTGGTGCCACAATGTTGATTTGATCTGGAGCCTGCACGAAGTATGTTATTTTGAAAACTGACCAAATTCTCTATGCCGTTTATGTGTCTGACTTCCTGCCAGTGCTCCTAGAAGAGAACAAGGCCTTCCGTTGCTAGCTTATCCAAAAAGTTGGCGAAAATGACCCAATATCGGAGGGTGACCCAAGGCCACCGTAACACTTAGGACAAAGGGCACCCACCCCAGGCCAATGTACCGCGTCTTTAGGGAAGCCCCATGTTGTTGGAGTATGAAGGGAAGAATACAATAAGTTCCAGAAAAGCATAAGTAAAGTATAAGATAATAAATAAAGGATAAATAAAAAAGTAATAAAAATCTTAGCAATTTAAAGTGTAGTGTAAAATTCCCACTTAGCTTTAATGTTGAAAACCATATCTGCAGGAACATGTGCGCACAACTTACCTTTTCTGTTTTAGCTCATTTAATTTTATCTTTTTCCATGATTGTTCTTTCTTAATATATGTGTTTAATTATACAAATAACACAAAATAGGGTTTTGTTGTATTAATATATTCTGCTGTGACGTCCACTAATGTTGTGTCCTGGCAGTAGCTCACTGAAATGGAGAGAAAAGGGAGCAACGAGACAAACCGTGTTCCCTTCTTCCATCCAAATTATAAACCTGTGAGGTATTTAGAGTTAAATCTTGTCATCATCTCAGTCCTGTGAGTTCAATGTTTAACAATAACCCCAGCTCACACACACACACACCACACACAAAACAACAATTCGCAAAATCAATATCTTCCCAATCTACATCTCAAGCCATCAGCCACTGAGCTCGGCTCATCAGAATTGTCAATTTAGGTCAAAATGACATTTAAAAGGCCGGAGAACACAACAAACACAACACACACACACACAACACACAACACCTACACACACACACCCTGATACGAAACCAGCCGACTTACTGACTGACAGAGCACAAATGACCGGGTTTGGAGCTTGGAGCCTGTGATGACGGACAAGTTTGTGGTAGACAATCAACAAATGGCCTTGCGGAAAAAAAAACCCACATGGACCTGTTGGCCTGTCAGTTAGTGTAATTAACCACACACGGCAACACCACACACAAGTAAACACAACATCTGTTATTGCTCAAAAAATCCATCTTATATGGACCCTCTGATGCAATTTATTTTTCCAGTGGGACAGGTTCATTAAACACAAACAGTGACATCAGCTCACAAACACGGGACAGGCTTCAGAACAGCAACGTGTCTACCTCCGATGGATGAGACGGATACACGGACGGGGAGTGTTTATGCCCCCCTGAGCTGTTATTCAAGATTAATTGGACCTTTCCATAAGGCCCTGCCTCATTTCGCTATGTGCCTCCAATAACAGTTCGGGTCATCTTCCCTTCCTTTTCCTGTATTTACGATTATGCACGTGCTAGGCTAATCTATGTTAAAAAGGCAACCACATTTTGAAGGGCTTTTATTTACGACAGGGCCTTCATATATGGGCACTTTAAGTTCCTTGTGCACCAAAACTTCTGGCTCTTTCTTTGTACAGTGTTTATTATTAATTACATTATATTATATATTTTTTCATACTGTTCTATATACTGATTTTTTATACTGTTTTTTTTTTCTCATATCCACTTTGCTGCTGTAAGGATTTGGAACTTTCCCCATTGTGGGACTATTAAAGGAATATCTTATCTTATCTTATTTTCTTACATCCAGTAGTAGCAAGTGAATTTCATAAATAAAACCTTTAAAGTCCCAAATGTGAAGTTAGGACGTGCATTAGATTTGAGGCCATAACCATATAAATGAACAATAAAATAAGACAGGCACTGACTGGTTTGAATATTTAAGACCTAGTTGTCTGTGTGGAAAGGACTTGGTCTCAAATTATGCAAACATTTTGACAGTTTTGAAAGGAACAATTTAGTTGCTGTGTCATATCAATGTTCATGCAATACAAACATTTATTTGCAACATTATAATAAGCCATCTTAAATAGTGAGCGGCTACACACCTGCAGTCATTCCCCACTGCAGTACGAAGGCATTAATGACAGCAGTTCTCCATGTGACAGCCTCCAAAACACATACATGGAGCTGAATAGACCATAGTACCATCAGTATACACAAAGTGGGCACAGCCACTATAAATCTCTGTATGTTAAATAACAATAATCACATTTCTCTGTCAGATCAACATTCATTAATTGATCTCATAGGCTCCAAGTATGCACATACTGAGCAGGTTACATTCATGAATGAACCCAACAATACATTTATAATGCATCATCATAATGAAGAACACAATGAACACATGAGCCTCAATAAATCTCAACAAACATGTAAATGGACATAAACAGGAGGTGACATTTCTAAATGACCCTGATAGTCTTTGTACACATCTACATGTATCCTGTCTCGAGCAAAGTGAAAAAAAAAATATATACAGAAAAATATATTCAGGGAAAAAAAATCCATATAAGAGATCACAGGAAGTCATTCATCATCCAGTCCCTTCGGCACCAGCGTTTGAAGAGTGTGGATCCAGTTAGCCTCCCGCTGTTTGAGTAGTTTGTCATGATTACTGCCCCTCGGTGGTAGGGTGACCTGTTCGATATCACAGAAACGTAATGAGGACTATTCGTGGCGAGCATCATTGAAATGCACTGCCACGGGATCGTTTCTGCGTAATGCTCCGAGAACTGAAAGACTTGATTAGGAACTTATTTTTTTACTTTAGACTCATCAAATGACTTAACTTGGACTTGACCAGCCAAAAAGACTTTAAAACAGCTTATCTACGGAGAGCAGCTCACACTGTCTGAACTACAGCCCCAACGTCAGGGCGTCCTGGGAGCACGTGTCCCAAAATAATATACACATTCATTTTGATGTTTTCCGGATCAATTATAACTTTTAAAACTTCTGCAGTGGTTTACCAAACAATAGAGGTTTGGCAGTAGTAAAAGCAGACTGTGATGATTACTGAACTCGAGTCTCTGCAAAGCTTTATTTAAACAAAAAGGTTGTGAAAGTCCGAGCTCAGAGGGCAGGAAGCCACATTTGCCCTTGGTAGACCGCAGCGGCTGCAGCAATCCACCGAGCCCCGAGGATTTGCATACATTTCCCTCGCTGCATACGTTTCTCTCACCGTTGCTTTGCCTGGAGCTCTCTTGGGAAATCTGCAGGAAGCACAAGGCTACGCAAGTCCAAAGGCCTGAGCTAAGAATAACAATCGCTCCAAGTTTATTCCATGAATAACAATAATTCCTACTGTATGAAATATTTTCAATGACATACTGCCTCAAAAAAGGAGCACCACATGAACCCTTAGAAAAAAAAACATCTTTATTCATTTCCATGACAAAAGATAAAGAAACTCAAAAACTTACAGTATGTCCACAGATTCTCATTGTCACACACACACACACAAACGTACCTTCCAGGATTTTCAGAATGATCTCACAGCATTTAATAAAATCAACTGTATTGCTGGGGGACAGTGATTTAGTTTTACTCTTTCGATTTCACAAAGAAAAGCATGCGTACAAAAACCAGACTGAAATGAATCCGTCGTTATTTTAAAAATTGGGCAGATTCGACATATTAATTTTCTTAAAACCAAACAGAAATTTCCAGGACACAAACGGACGTTATTTCAGTCACGACAGGGGTTGTAATACTACTGAATAAGCGGTTCTCTCAGACAGGGTTATCTGAATGCACATATGTGGTTTTTACAAACATTGAAACCGAACCGCTCTGCAAATACTGATCGAGCTGCATTGAAATGTGATACACACTCATTCATTTAGTCGGTACAGTGTTACGTCAGCTGGAATCCAATTAAAAGCCAGGGTGAAGTAGGTGAACCGGACTCTCCTCCTCACATAAAAACACTTTGAAATAATCAGAACACAGCTGGGATGGGCGCAGACATAATCCCCAGATGAATACCTATAAGCAGTATATTAACCATTGATGGATATCTGTAACACTGTAATGTAGTTGGAAGCAGAACTTTCAATAAGTTTTTAGTAATATATTTGACAATAACTTATCAATGAAGCATCTGTAACCACTGAATAAACAAATAAATACAAAAAGGTCAAACGGATTGTTTTTATGTAAAGAAAAATGTAATATATTAAAAATATACTGCAGCTACCGTGCACATTTTCCTTTCCTGTCTTTTTGCTCTGTGCTCCAATAACAGTCAAGGAAAAAGTCGATTAAACACTTATAATCTCCTTGAGTTTGCTTATTTAAATGAACAGTGTTGGAAAATAGTGTTACTGATTCTGCTTATCAGTCCCTTTTAAATAAACTGTGGTAGGAAATAATTCATCCATAATTTTAGTGTTTGATGTCAGTAGAGAAAATACTGCATTCATGGAAGAATACAGAGGAGATGTTTTCAACTAAGACCTTATCTCTTAATTAGGAAATCTGGATTAATTATTAGAATTACTAGTCTTTAATCTCCGGATAACAAGATCATTCAATTGTTTTAAAATTCAATGAGAACCACAAAATCATAATGTATCTCTTATGTTAAGTCTAGAAAATGAGAAAAACTCTTATTTTGAAAAGTTGATCTTGAAACAATGGACCGAATACAATAGCAGCAATCACGCTTAGTTTCTGTGGAAAGATTTTCACCATTTCATCGTCTCAGAGTATCGGTCTGGTTGTTCAACTAGCAGGTGATATGTTAGATCAAACCTCCCAACACTTCCAGCACGATGAAGGACACAACGAAACAATAAGGCAAATAACAAACACATTGCTCACATCGTTAGACGCAACAAAGACGAGTTAACGCTGTTGTTTTCTGGTCAGTGACAGCAGTTGATTAAAGTCATACATGAAGCAATCTGACAGTTAACTATAGCCTGCAAACACCCAGATGGGCTTTGTGTATTCTGCCTCTATGACGAGCGTGCGACGCAGCTAAAGTCTCTGCTTTCTGTTAAAGTGATAAGAGCCTCCAGCTCTACGGTGGCTGAGAGAAGCCAAAACTGCACACTGAGAGAACGAGCTCATTGTTCACAGGTTTGACACATAGGCTGCATTCAGGAACATAGAAGGTACAGCGCTGCAGTGAGATGAGAGGAACAAGACTGGCAGGTATGTTACAGTTTTTTTTTTTTTTTTTGAAGAATAAAAGCAACATTTAAAGAAAATAATAAAGTTACAAACTGAATTTAGTATAAAACTTTGATTTTATGGTGTTTACCATGTTTCTAATGGCAGAGCGCGCTGCTAAATCTGTGAATATGTTTACATTTTTGTCTCTTTCAGCCACCATTGAATTTCCCTCATAAAACCTGATACGAGGCAACTGACCCAAGCAGTCAATAATAGTAAAAACCCACAGGGCTGTTATCAACTCTTTCACTCAAACTCAATATCTAATGCCGGAAAATATGCTGACCCTTTAAATTTGTCATCAAAAAATATATACGCGTGTATATACATTATTATTTCATTATCTGTAAACGTTAGGCTCTTAAAAAATCTTGATAAAAGTGGATCTTTTAAAAAAAACTAAATGCAAACCACCAAACCACCGTTTTGATTGACAGATGTAAAATAAATAGAGATAAGTTAAAACGTATGTACAAAATGGTCAAAGCACTCAGTAGTGAAAAAACACAACAAACCAAGCAGGAAAACGCTCATGTTTGTGTCATTTCTACCGTTCTTGTTGAAAAGCCGCAGCTCAAACTTAAACTCAACGGGGCTGCGGATCAACCCAGTCGTCATGGAAACGGAAAAAGGCAGCTGTCTACCGTCACGTACGGTTTTGGTTGTTTTTGCGTTTTAACCGAAAATGGTTTTAGTGTCGCCGCTCCTCCTCCAGCTGTTGGACGGATTTCGTAGTTCAGTTTGTTTGTAGAGTTAATCCCTCTTTTGTTTAAAAAAGAAAAAAGGAAAAAGGAAAAAAAAAAGAATAATACTCAGGACTCCATTTCCCAGGTATCCTCTCGTACACAAGTTCAACATCTAGGAAAAGTCAGTGTTGTAGTTGTGGGTCCCAGGCTGGATTATTAGTGGTTGTTGGTGGAGAGAGGACAAGAGATAAGGCCTGGGCTGGTTGTTCGTGTATAACATCAGGTCTACATCTGCTCCACCGGGGCTCCCTCTTCTTTGGGCGGAGGCTCTAAGTGAATGGGAGTGACAGCGGCTGGTTTCTTCACCCTGGTCATGAGACAAAGAGATGGACAAGATAAGAAAGGGAGAGTAGTGACATGTGGAATGGGATTGTTATCTTTTCTATACTCTTTAAAATTGTCTCTGGTTCAGAGACAGAAACAAAGATGAAGAATTGCTGCTGCTTTACTACAAATTAATTAAATTGAAGTAAGACAGAAGACAAAAAAAGACACTAGGAAGCTTGTTTAAGTAGATTAAGGGTCAGCAACCGTTACTATCAGAAGACAGTGCTGCTTTAACTGCCGTTGGGTGTCTGTCTGCGTAGCTGGATGTGTACAATTCAAGCTTTACTCACGAGTATGGGGAGCTTGGCACCGCCACCACCAGGACCTGATTCCTTTTTCTGAAGAGCCTCCACAGGCCTCTGTGGTTTCCCCGGACATCCAGGTCCCAAACATGGAGGCACTGAGCAGACGACAGAGAGATGAGAATGAATGAATGATCCTGTTCCTGATGGCGGCTAGGGTTCGTTTCATTAGCTTCTTGTGAAGGTGAGAAGTTTAAGATACAATATGAACAACAAAAAAGACAAAAATGGAAGTGACCTGACTTGGACTTCTTAAAAAGTCCACCAACCAGTGCTCCTGCTCTGACTTCCGTACCTTGGCGAGCTCTGTCCAGGTGGAAGTGTCCGTCTCTGTCTCCATCCTAATGAACATGACGTAGGTCTTCCCCTCAGAGTCCGGCAGGAACGAGTCCTCACACGGGTTCTTAGTGTGGTCCAGCACCTCCGCTTCCCTGGGATCACACACACACACACAC